TATTTACTTATACTAGCTTACGAGTGTTTTATTTAATTTAGATAATCAGTGATAATTCGTAATATTATCTCTGCTTAGTCTACAAGCCTACAAGTTGTATTGCCTACGTAAGACGAATTAAATCAACCAGCACTTTGCCACTTCTCTAAACGCCGCGGCAATTTCGCAAGATTCTCCGATTCGCGAATATTTTACGACGTACTTGCAGAATTGTATTCAATCGTTTGCATTTCGTGTGAACTTCCAAGATTAAATAAAAATGTTATCTTGGAGAGTGACGGCAAACAAAAGAACTTTTTACATGTGAGGCATTTAGCTTTTTTTTAGCTTTCGTTAAAAATGAATCGGTTTTGAACTATCTCACGGTCAGTTCACGTAGAATCGACGTTCGGATTAGTAAACTATGCGGATAACCTCGGCATTTCATATGTATACCTTTACGCCGATGTCAGCCGAATCTTTTTGTTCACGTTTACACGTTCTGATTCTTTTCTTTAATGCGCACTTGTCAAGTTCTCAAATGGAGTATGTCTATGCGTTCGGAGAAATTGTCGGAAAAAAGTTTTGTGGAAAATTTTTTTAAGTTGGGCGACGCAACGTGAGCATTTACGCGATATAAATGTAAGGCGCAACAGAATGTGTTATCCGGTTACCGTATTGTTTACCGATTTCATTCATACATCAACAAGAATGAAAGACAGAAAGAAAGAAAAACGTATAAACATCGTCATTGCTGAATGATTAAAGATCTTTGTGTTAACATCGTCCTTCGCGTACGTTATACGTGCTGAGCGAGATCACGACGAAATTGATCAATCAATAAAAAGTGAGTCAATTGCCAAAAGGCCAGCGCTCGTAAATTAACAACACGCAACGATTAATTTACAGTCTCTCGCTCGATATCGATCTTCTGCGTGCAATGTATCCAATAAAAAGAGGAACAATATATTTTTTTCTAACTTAAAGTTCGAAAGGAAAAGCCTTCGAAGAATTTATTCGGGCTTTCTATGAAATTTATACTATCAGTGTAAATTTTGATTCGAATTTGAAGCATCGATAAATTAACTTGTTTTTCAGTCTACCACAATGACAATAAATCACGGAAAAAGCATCCGACAGAGAAAGTAAAAAAAAAGGACTCCTACCGAACGAAGCATTCACAAAAGTGTTTTGAAGTCGCGCAAGGGGTCCACGACCGCGAGTTGACAGCTAAGTTGTATTGACGCCGTGTCAAGAAACTTTTTGGCACCGATTATCACTGCTCTCTCCGTTGGGGTGTCTCTGAAACCATCACTTGTTTTCTTCCGCTTCGAATTTCCCATTTGCACGCGGCGACATCGCGTGACTCGTCTTTGCGACACCCCTTTCATTTTATCGTGCAACGACTTTAATTTTCAAGAAATACGTTTGTGGCTTTTTTTTTATTTAGTTGTCAATGTCAGCTGCGAAACGCGGTTGCGAAAGGTATTTAACGTTTGTGGAATAAATCGCTGGAATTCCTTTGATGTTTGCAAAGCAGAAGTAAATACATTTCATTGATTAATGCGGGAGACGAACGCACGTACTTTTTTTAATTCTTGATAAAAAGAAAAATCGATAACGAAAAGCCAATATTTGCTTGATTGCGAACTTGTACCTGCTTCGGTTTATGATGGAGGTTTTGCATTTTAACAACTTAAATTCAATTTAATGATAAAAGAACCTACGTATGAAACGTTTCCCCAAAAACGTTGTCAGCATAACTGCTTGAAATCATTTATGCAGTGGCATCACAAGTCATTTCGTCACCTGCTTGCATTAGACAGAGCACGTTACGCGGCAGCAGCGATTTATCGATAGAGACAACCTCGACAATAGCTGCGATGTTGTTACTTCAGCATGCTAATCGTCTCAACGATAATGCCACACAGGGGAACTTGCATAGGATCGGGCTATTAAACCAAAACGGAAATGACGCCGACGCATGCGGATTTAATTGGCGCGCAAATGAAAAGACGCACGCGATAGACAATTAAGTAAATGTATCTATGTGCTCTCAAAAGTCTTAAGCTTTCGCGAAAGTTCCGCGAATATTTTGTCGGGCTGAAATGTGTTTTAGAGCAAGCTAAAACTGATTAGGGGGCGTTGATTAATTGGCTGTGTTTGCTGCCTTTTTTGAATTATTTTATCTTTTTCTTCGGCGTGAATCGTGCCAACAAACTTGGAAGCAAAATTTCGTTTGCGTGAAAATTTGATTATTGGGCTATGAAAAGTGACGTGAATACGTACCTGATTCATCTTGAATAATGAATTAGATATAATAATTTTTTTCCTATCGTAATGCAACGCATCAACGTACTAAGGAAAAATTATGAAGCATTCGTATTGGTACAGATAAGAAAGTACAGTTCATCGTACATCCAACCGTATCTTTTGTGAGACACGCGGCGTGTACACACATTGTAAACAAACAAAGTAGACACTTTTTTCTATGAATTTCCAACAAACGAATTTTTTCTCGTGAAAAATAAAACAGCTCCCTCGACCGTAACCATGTGGCCAACTTTAACACCACGTTAAAAATTAACATCTTGCATAAGTTGACTAGGCATACTAATTATTTAGATAAATTAACATCATAAGCTACTTAGTGGAGTTGAGATACGAAAAAATAGGAGAACATATATATATATAGGCGAGCAATGCGTCAGAGGAGCTAGAGAGCAACACGTGGCTTGGAGGCGGAGATTTCAATGTCCGATGTAGCCAGTCTCCCACTCTCCCCTGATTCATCCCATAGACAGATGTCATATAACTCTCGACGAGAGAGAAAAAAACAATGAGCTACTTAACATAAGTTTTCAATTTTATTTCATGGCGGCGAATGATTCTCGGTTTGTGGGTCGCGACAACGAGACGCATAGACGTGCATACCTGCGTTTTATAATAGAAGGGAAAACATAAAACCGTGGCAGCGTGTTATGTCAGCATTGTAAATTGTTATAATAAGTGGGCCATTAGCTCTAATTTTCTCTCTTGCATATATGTACGTGTTATCCTTCACAATGTGCACCTTTTCCACGAATCCACCATATAAACAAGACACGCGACACGCATATCACACACTAATTTTCGCAAATTCCTACCTTTATAAAAAACGTGTCGTGTTGTAAACTAGTCTCCAATATTTTCACTGTGGCTTCTTATTGATATAAAAACAAATTGGGTGTTTGTATAAAAGTTGCACATGTAAAAAGGTATAAGATACAAACACACTCGCGATCGCATAAAACAAGCGACAGTAAGAGAAGGAAACAACAAAGCACAGAAAGTGATGACTCTCCCGATGCGTTGAGGCCGCCGGTGCCGAGCCGACTGACTAGCTTGGCTTTACCAGCCACTCTCTGTCAGCGCTCGCACTCCGCTGCTGCCACGTCTAAAGTGCAAGTGTGTGAGTGAACGTGCGGGCGCTCCCCTCAAACACGCGCTGTTTCTTTCTCAGGCTGTGCAGCCTCCGGTTGGTTCGCTCTCATACATCGCGGGGCGCCCCCGAAAACCGGGAGGCCAAGTACAATCTTACTCGAAAGTATCTCGAATACGAAGGCTTATATGTTGACGGGACTGTCTTTCTTTCTCTCTCTTTTTCGGGTTTGCGTGTTTATTGTTTGGCTTTGATGATGCTCTGTAATCGTGTGTTTAAGCTGATTGTTTTATCTCATTTTAATTTTTGCGATAAGACTTCTTTATCTCTACGTATGCAAATAAGTTTCGGTGATAACTATTTTTACTTTTGTTTTTGAACGATAGCGATCTTTGGAAATCGATAATAATTACAGCTATGAAATTTTTCAAAATTTCTAAATGTAAATTTAGACTTTAGTTTTTTTTATATTTTTGAATCATTTTACTCGATACTCAAGTCAGAGACAGAGGCGTTTTATGAAAATTTAAAGGAAGTTTAGTTGAATATATTTGAATTGAACAAGGGAATCGATAACTACAAAATTTTCGGACGCGCTTACAAAAAGAACATTGATATTCTTATCGTAATGGCTATAAATTTCTGTTACACATCTATTTTAATATTTAACCGATTTACAGCGCGTGTATCCCCCCTATAATCATATCTCCCTTATACACTATACATCAATTTTCACTCTTAAGGCAAATGAAAAAATAAAATATCAGCAGTGAGTTTTGTTGCTCCTAACTTGACATGCATTCAGGAAAGTTAAAGATTGGTCGAAAAAAATTTGACTTCCATTTACGGGAGAATCTCTTGATAAATAAATAGCCATTACTGCAAGGAAGTGGGTTGAGGCGTGTGTGTGTATTACACACACATTCACATGCGAATATATATATATATATATATATATATAGTATATTGACTGATCGTTGCCACCGTGGCTTTCTTAAATCAAGGTCGACGAGATTTCAGAGTACAGAGAGAAAACTTGAATTTTTTTCTTTTACGTTTTATCCGCGTTCTCCTTTTTTGTATTTTATACATCGCAAAGCCTATAGCAAAAGAAGTCGGGCGCGTACAGTCACCGTGGAAATTTGATGACGCGCTCATGCCCTTCGACGTGTTCATACACCCAAGGTTTTTCAATGGATTTTCTAGTCACCGCTCTTTTATTTTAATGTTGCTACCATTAAAGCTCATCAGCTCTGATAAATTCCGTGTCGTTTTCTAATTTAAAATTATGATAAATCTTTTTAATAAATCGAGATTAAAATTTGCAAATAAGCTATCGGTTCTGTTGTTATAGAAACGATTATTTGCGGGAAATTCAAATGATTGCGTGATTAAGGTAGCTCTCTACCTTATCGATAGATGTAAAAGAAATTATGTATAATGATTCAAAAGAAATTTTTTAACATTTATACTTTTTTATCAAAAAATCTCTAGGCTGTATATAAGTACAACACATTTCTATAATTTACATTAAAAAGTTCATTTTCGAAAAAGTACAAAAAGTCGTATGTAATTGACTTATTTAAAAAAATATTTAATTAGTCTCACTTTCTATATTTTAAATAACAATTTAACAGAAAAATCCAGTAAAAATCGTCTTAGATTACAATTTTATAAAATATACTTTTTAAGTTTTTATATTTAAAACAACCAAACTTAATCCCTAGTAGCTAAATTGCATTAAACTTTTACCGGACATTGCTCATATAAAAATCTTATACATTGTTTTTTTTTACAAAAAGCAATGTTGATTATACAAAATTTATTAATATCTATCAAGTGAGTACTTCTTCATAACTACGGAAGTGCTAGAGTCCTCAATAAAATTTTAACACGTTCCGATAGCAACAAATCCTCAGTTAAAATTGTCTTCTCGTCAATAGTTTTATTTGCCTGGCCGCTTAGAACCTTGAACTGATTTTTAGCCTCAAGAGCTTTCCTTAGTGCGTCCTCTAATTTATCCTACAAACAGAACAGAAAGGAAAAACATATAGCATCCGCTTGTACGTACGGAAGTTTTTGTCTGCGCACGAAGATCAATCGCAGTAGTATTTTAATGAGGCAATGAGTTGATGAGTCACAGAAGGTGCAGTGCAATATAACACCAGATTATAATTATAAAAGCAATATGTGTGGGTGTACTTCGGTAGCTTCGTAATTCGCGATGCCGATGCAGCTGGTGAAGCCCTGGCCACGCGTTAAGTATCCTAATTTCCGACGAGACAGGCCAAATACTGTAGCTAACTCGTGCCTCTTACAGCTCACTATGAATCGATGCACTAAGTCATCCAGTTCACCTGTAATCAGATAGACCAGGTAGACTGTTGCATCGATTTTCTTTTAAATTTTCAATCATCTCTAAAACAGCCTCTAATTGAACAGAATAAATAATAGTTTGGATGTTTGAAATAAATTTGAATTAAAATGAGCGATGTGAATAGAAATTGATAAATAGAAAAATAGAAGCTCAGGCTGATTTAGAGCGCATTGGTAAGAATTTCCGTTTACCATTATCATTCTTTTGATCTAAGTCAGGCGCAATGATGACCAATTTGATTTTGTTTATTTTAAAGCGTTTTTCAGTCTCTTTGAATCCTGCGTAATAACGCCGCCTACATCTGCCTTTCACGTTGTTACGATTATACAAGTTTTTTTGTAATCTCGACAGTTCCGCGACGAACTTTTCAAGACTCTTGTTCAATTGAGGATTAATCATATTTGTACAATACCTATAATGCAATTCATTAAATTAAGTTGCAAGAATATTCTTCTATTTCAAAACGAGGTAAAAACATTTTCTCAGGTATATCATAATTACGTTATAATTATTTGTTTATTGCTGTAAAATAGTATTACAAAAAGTAGTAAATATAGAGTGTTGTAAATTACCATGATTATAAGATGTAATTTACAGCGAACAAAAGAAGAATGTACAATATATAATGACTTTCTTATGATTTCACAATGTTATAATAAAAATTCTTTTTTCTCTCCTCTCTCTGTCTGTCTCATTGCTAAATGTCTGATGAATTTTAAGCGAAATAAACTTACTCTCTAAATCTTCTTGAAAAATCAATCACATTTTGTGCTTCCAAGTTTGCACAATCCTCAAGCATAAAGCCCTCTGGAAAATTCACTTTGACTATGTGGTCGGTGGTTTCCACAGGGTTTACAGGCATGTGATTCACTGAAGTACACGTAATACTGACATTTTTGACACTGCCATTGCTGTGAGAGTCACTATTTTCACTGCAGTCTCGTGGAACTTTGTCATAACAGCTCATCGTTGCTACACCACCATTGATGCTGTAATCCACTTTTGGATCTGCTGTAATTTTGAATTTAGGTGATTGAATCTTGTTCACCAAGTCTAAAAACTGTTGGTCTTCCTTTATCAGATGTATTGCCCGATTTAAAGTTTTGACTTTTACTGATCTATGTGGTTTCTTGATGGAATGAAGGGCATTTTTGTTACCATCCTGAAATAGAATAAAAACAGAACTTTTTATAAAAAATAATAATTATATTCACAGTATACTTTTATTTATTTATTACATATTATATTTATTATAGTAAAAGTTTACATTTACTATAGTAAATAACACATATATAGTAAGTATAATTATATTTACTACAGGAAATGTTAATATTTGCTACAGTGAATGACATCATTGTATAAAGCACTTAACAACTTTCAGTGTGCCATAACAATGTATAGGCATAAGAATATTTTTCAAACATAACTGATAATTACAATGGCTTTATCTTTTTTTGATAAGTGTTTCTTCCTCTCTAAGGCCAGTTTTATAAGTTTGAGCTTAGTTTGAACGAGTCACATTAAAATTAAAATTATAGTATTTTAGTTAAGAAAAAAATATATTATGTCCAGATAAAAAAAAAGAAAACGCAGTATTAAAAAACAAGTTAAAACAAATTAAAACAAGTTGAAACAAGTTATCCCCCATTCTGTATACACACTCTTGACACACAGTTTCCAACTTTCACGCAACTTTACACGTACGTGGGAGTGCCATGGCATACGCGCCCACGCACACGCGCACACTCACATACACACACACACACACACACAGAAAGAGTGGTGGAACCCCATAGACAACGGACTAAGGAATTTAAATGGCAGTAGCAGCTGAGCTGATATAGTTGAAGAAATGGTAATGGTACCTTGTCGAAGTGGCTGAGTAAGTCGTTGAGCACAAGCATCTTTTTGCGAAGGTTCGTGGGAGGTATGGTAATGCCGACTTTTTGCAAAATCCTAACCTCGCGAATATCTGGTTGCGGCTCCTTGGACTCCTCCGAGTTGTCCCTCCAAGAGGAAGCTGCTGTTGTTGGCTGCTGTCCCTCCATGGCTTATCAGCAGCAGCAGCAGCCCTCACGGCTGAAATAGGGACCGAGCGAACTCGGCGGAAGTATCTTTTCCTTTGTCTTCTATTTTATTCGAGCCGTTGTGCTGCTGTTACCGACCTTTGTGTTTTTATTAATACTTGTACGCAGCCCAAACGAGATCATCTGGCTTGCATCGACGATCGAACGCTACTAAACGCACACGAATGTGATATCTGAGTTGTAGCTGCAGTAGTCGTATGACTAACATCACCACATCGAGATGATCGATCGCGACTGTGACTTCTAATGAAAAACTCCAGGTGGCAGCACCAAACGGATTACGATATGTTTTTTGTTTGGGAATCCACATATCAACGGATACATTACACTTCACAGCTGATAAGAATAATAAGTGTGATAATTAAGTATGATGAATCGTACGATGCATCGACAGCATTCTTTTCACTAAAATTTTGAATATTCACTTTGATGTATGTATTTTTTGATTCTCGCGCTTAGTATAATTCCATAAGGTTAATTCTTTTCATGAAAACTTGATGATTTGGACAAAGTAATTTTGGCATGTTTATATAAAAATCAATTATGCTTTAGTACACCATTTAATTGCGAATATAAATTATCTTTAATAAATCCTGCTCAATTATAGCATCGCACGCGGTTAGCACAAGAAGTTTTTTCATTATTTCCACAGAGAGCAGCACTTATCACTTCTCCGTAGGGTATGCAGGTGAGGAAGAACTCTACACATACTACGCGTGATTTACCAGAAACAGGTTTTATTAGACCTGAAGGCAATTATACGAACGGCAAGAGGCTGTGGCCGCTTAGTGAGTTTACATTCAAATTGTCGCCGTATGGTGTACAGAAATTTCGGGAGACATTTTGCGCACGCCTGGCTCCTACACCTTAAAAAAGGGTTAATTCAATCTTGTTACAATATTATTTAATGTTATTTATCTAAAGATAAACTGTGTATTTCAACTTTATTCAGATAATAGATTTTGCCTTTTGCAATGCGTAAGATTGAATTTTCATAATGTCGCATGTCATCATGAATAAAATGAGATAGAAGCATAAGTCAATTTTTATTTTTGTTTTACAAAAGTTAAAAAATAATCAATGAATTACATGATTGTTTTTCAAAAAAACAAAAAATTGAGTCTCAATCAAAAAATTCGCGTGTCAACTGCAAACGCTATAAAGTTGGCTTCACATCCATTTGGACCAAGTCATTTACCGAACCGATTGATTTTTACTTGGAAAACACACGGTGAAAAGCGAACGAAAGAAGTTCGTAATCGTTTATAAGCGTTTGCGAAAGCGCATTTGGCAAAGTCAAACGTAAGCCGTTGCGAGCAAGTAGTAGTGATGCCGGATCGGTCAGACGTCATGCCGTCGCTCGCGCATATTCGCAACATTACTCATTGGTGAGCGTCACTATTTCTCAGAAATTACAAGCACGAAAAAGGAGCTTTCGATTCCCGCGAAAAGAAAACGCGAATGTCCTTTTTTAGATGGTTAACGCGCCACTTATCAAGTAATCGATTACTATTTCCGTAATTATTCTGTTATTCCACGTACGCACACGCCACTTTAACTCAACGCGATAGAAACGTCGTCCTCGTTTCCTCCTTTCCATTCATTAGTGCGAAATCATTTCTAGTTAACTTTTATGTACATATATATGTACATTTTGCTTGTATATACTTTATGCGGCGATTATATATTTCCTTCTTGGAACAATGAGTCCATCACTGTTTGCGGAAAGCATTGGCATTCTTATCGCGAGTCTGTACGTGAAAAATTATTTTCTGCCTCTGCGTGAAATGTTGACGGAGTTGATGAGGTGATGCGTATCGCTTTATGTTTCTTGACGCGAACGCGATGATGAAAGGGTGTGTGTGTGTGCATTAAGTTCTTATCGAAACACGCCTTCTTGCGCGCTATACGAGACCTCTTTGTCGCACTGTTCCCTAGAGAGACAGCATAGCATCGTGGAATCGTTCGTTCTATATTCACCTCGAGGAAAAAGAAATCGTGCAGCTTGCAACTCGCGTTTGCAACGCGCGTGCATAGCAGAAGAAAAAAAAAATGTGGATGAGGCGCGTGAAAGCGAAAATAGCATCAACTGTCGGCGCGAAGAGAAACTGTGACATTATATCGACGAATGCAGCTGCACGGAGATATCGTGCGAGCGACAAAAAAAAGAGCACGTCGGTCGCGCGCGTACGTGACGATTCGCTCTACGTCCAGTTTTAACAATCAGAAAAATGTGTTAGCAAAGAAACGTGATTACTTGTCGTCAGCCCGTGTAAAAAAATCTGATTATCATCCATCTCGCCGAAGTGAATAATATTGATCAGGAAAAAAAAAGCGTAGAGACGAGCTTCATAGGCTGGCAATCGAATTCGGACGCTGCCTAGAAGAAACAACAATTCGATGCTATTAAGTTTAATTGGGGATTCAATTGGAAAAGCTGTCTCTGTTATTACTCGTTTTCACATTTCTGAAGATCATATAAATTAAAAGCGATAGTTTTTTTAAATTTAATTTTGCAAATGAACAAATTTGAATCCTTGGTCGTAAGCTGGAATTAATAATAATTATTAGTCAAAGCGATATATACTTGTGACGCGATGTATACTAATTACTAAGCAGCTATTTTAACAGTTTAGACATTAACCCGCATATGTGCAAACTTGCGATAAATGTATCTTTCTACTACGAAATAATTTGATCGCACGCATTGTCCGCCCTACACACACTCCTAATTAAAGAATTAGCGTTATTAAACGTTAAAACACAATCGATTTGTACTTTATTCCTCTATCTCTCTCTCTCTCTCTCTCTCTCTCTCTCTCTCTCTCTCTCTCTCTCTCTCTCTCTCTCCCTATCAAAAAAATACGATACCTAACGAGCATCCGAAGTATTGCGGAGAGAACAACCAGAGAACAACAGTATTATAGTGCAAGGGCCGAGTGTACATGCGTCCGTTGGTGTTGTTGTCGTTCACCGCTAGTAAACGAATGGGAAATCAGTCTCAAACAGCTAATCAGTCAACGGGAATCTTTTTACTTTTTTTTGCGCACTTTAACATATATATACGTATATTTATACACAAGCACTCGTGTTCAATAAAACGGCTTTCCGGGTATGTCTATTTTTGGCGAATTTCATTCTTCCACGTCGGAATGTTCCCTTAATATACATCCATTAGTGACCACAGTGAGAAAAGTTTTTGTTTGCGAAGATTTGTCTCCGCGTCTACAGCTTGACTTGTTAATGATCTACATCAGCGGCGCGCGAGGAAAATTATAAGTTGGAAGCTGTTTTAAGTTTAGAAAAGTTCTTTTTCGGAAATTATTGCGGTAGCAGTTTATAACCGCGAAGTTGTAAAAGTAAGTTAAATTACGTTGATGTTTGCAAAGGCTGACAATGAAAAAAATTTCAATCCAACCCTCTCATCCGTATTCAAAATAGACAGCGAGCGAAAGCTTCTGTATGTTAATGAAGACGAAAGACATTTGAATATAGTAGCCACGTGTATGCTACGTTATGAAATGTTGAAAAGTCTATTTACGAGCAGCCGATCAAAAATTCAAATACGCATGAATCTTTGAGTAAATTGTGACGGTATGCGTGGACGTAGTTGGCAATATGTGTAATTGAACGCGAAACAACAATGACGAAATGAGAGAGTCCTTCTTTCTCTTCGATTATTATCCGGTGAAATACATTTACTCGCAAACGCGTTTGAGGCAAGTTTTAATTAGGCAAAGTGACTTTTATTATAGCCGCTATATGTAAAAGGATACTTCTCCATGGGAGCAATACAGATTGACCTTGGGCACACACATACACGTCCGATTTACGTCATTGTTTAGAATGTTATGTTTTATCTCGTTCACAGCTATTCCCAGTCATAAATTTTTTTACAACGATAGAGCAATGACACCATTCAGCGTCACATTGTTCGCTTGAAAAGCTTCGAATGGAAAGCAGCGACATATTAGCAAATTGCTACGTTAGTCGCAGGCGTTTGTTTCATTCGATTATCGGCGAACGAACAACTCCTCATCGATTTTTGTTGTCCATTGAAAAATGATAATTACGAAGATAAATAGATGCCTATAGCTTGTGACGTAGATAAAGAGAAAAAAATAAGGAAGAAATTAAGGCGAATGGCTCGTTTCCGACCGCAAAAAGAGAGGCCCAAATGAACGTAACTATGACGTTCGCACCCTCGACAATTTCGCTGGCATGTATGGCGACGGGCGAAATGTAAAACACACGCGCACAGATAGGACGACTTTGCTCCTCATTGTGCATGCATCTGAAACTTTATTCAGGGCAACAGTTTTCCCTTGGACGCCGCAGACAAACTTCATCAAGGTCTCAAGCGTTTGGTCTCTTTTTCTACTCCTATGACACGTAAATAATAGGGGCTCGAATATCGCTGACATTTGACATTGAATCAGTGGAAAAATACTTGTCTCAGTGTGTGCTGCTTAAAATATCCTCTCCAAGTAGTATGACAACTTGATTGTTCGATTCATGCTTTATACATTCATAGCTGTTTTTTGTTCGCTTTGTGTAATCGTCGACGATTATCGCGATGGATATGAAATGTCACTGATTGGCAGATTATAGCCGACTTCTGTTGACTCTTGTTAATGCACCAATAAAAAATTTACAAGAGCTTCTCCATTAATTAGTGCTTGTTGAAGATCAACTTTTATTAATTTGCCATGTTGCATATTCTTTTCTCGTTGTCGTGCGTATGCCTGTGACGCACATGGTTTTTATAAGTAGCGCAGGTGTGGAGCGTACCAGGCAGCTCGCACTCGAAAATCGAAAATCAAAGAGTTATGAAATTGCGTCGTCGAGCGTGCGTTTTCGCAGAACGAAAAAATTCACGTAGGACGCGCGAGCATATTTTTTTTATTCGCACTCGCTGCGAGCGAATGCAATATGACTATGTCGGAAACGGTGCGCGTACAGCTTCACGCAATAGTGCTTTATTATTTCGCACTTGTATGTAAGCCTCTTTTACCTTTCGCAAAAGTGCGTATTTTTTTCACATTTTCTTGACACCTTCCCATCCACATGGAAGTTGACGAGCTACTGCATACACGAATCAGTCGTCAGATATGCGCTTGGAGTGAAATATTAGAGAGCGTGTTCTGATAATTGAAGAATAGGAAATCGTGTGTACCAGTGGAACATCGAATATCTTACAAAATCAGTAGTAAAGGTCCGTTATTGGTGAGACTCGAGC